CTGTTGCAGAGAGATTGTACTGTATGATTGAATAAACGGATTATTATCTTTTTTAGAGATTTTTCCAACAACTTATTTGATACAATGTAATATTTGTTTTAAGTACTTTCTCAACCTACTTGAATCACAAAGACTCTCAAACTCATGACGTCCTATTTAGGCTGAGCCACTTCATTCAATAAAAAGTCCCCAAGATCATTTACTGGTTAAGAGTTAATGTACTTCAATAAAAAGTTTAAAACGAACTTCAATATTTTAAAATATTACAAGATTTTTATTTTTTATTTTTTGGAATTAACCAAAGAAAATTGCATTTTTCAAATAATTTAAAATTTACTTTTATCGTTGTGCTTGAGAGATTTGGACTCTCGTTGGGAAAACGCATGTCTTGCAGGCCACACGCCCAACCACTCGCTAAAAAAATGTGTGTTCTTTTATGGTAGAAAAATCGAAACGGAATCATTATTTTTTTTTAGTTTTTTTTTTTCCTACAAATTACTCTGTTTTCAATGTAATATTTGTTTATAACTACTTCTCTAACTACTAAATCACAAAGAATCATATTCCCAAATGGGGCTCAATCCATGACCTCCTATATAGGAGAGCTACTTCATGCGCTAAAAAGACCACAAGATCATTTACTGGTTAAAGAGTTCATATCTACAATTAAAAATTTAAAACGAATTTCTTATTTCAAAATAGTTTTTGTATTAACCAAAGAAAATTGCATTGTTTCAATAATTAAAAAATTTACTTCTATCGTTGCCTGAGAGATTCAAACTCGCGGGGAAACCCATGTACTTAGCAGGCACACGCCTTAACCACTCGGCGCCAAAGCAAAATGTGTGTTATTGTATTGTATATGAAAAAAACGGATTATATCTTTTTAAGAGATTTTTTTCCAACAACTTACTTTGATACAATGTAATATTTGTTTTTTAAGTCTTTCTCAACCTACTGAATCACAAAGATCTCAAACTCATGACGTCCATTTAGGAGAGCCACTACATGCCTATAAAACGCACAAGATCATTACTGTTTAAAGAGTTAATGTACTTCATAAAAAGTTTAAAACGAACTTCAATATTTTTAAAATAGTTACAAGATTTATTTTTATTTTTTGGAATTAACCAAAGAAAATTGCATTTTTCAAATAATTTAAAATTTACTTTTATCGTTGCTTGAGAGATTTGGACTCTCGTTGGGAAAACGCATGTACTTAGCAGGCACACGCCCAACCACTCGGCTAAAAAAACTTGTGTGTTCTTTTATGGTAGAAAAATCGAAACGGCATCATTATTTTTTTTTAGTTTTTTTTTCTACAAATTATATTTTTCAATGTAAATTTGTTTTTAACTACTTCCTCAACTACTAAATCACAAAGAATCAATATTTCCAAATGGGGTCCAATCCATGACCTCTATATACGGAGAGCTACTTCATGCCGCTAAAAAGACCACAAGATCATTTACTGGTTAAAGAGTTCATATCTACAATTAAAATTTAAAACGAATTTCATTATTTCAAAATAGTTTTTTTTATTAACAAAGAAAATTGCATTGTTTCAATAATTAAAATATTACTTCTATCGTTGCCTGAGAATTCAATCCGCGGGGAAAACCCATGCACTTAGCAGGCACACGCCTTAACCACTCGCCAAAGCAACATGTGTGTTATTTTATTGTATATTCAAAAAAACGGATTACTATCTTTTTAAGAGATTTTTTCAATAACATACTTTGATACAATGTAATATTTGTTTTTTAGTACTTTCTCAACCTACTGAATCACAAAGACTCTCAAACTCATGACGTCCTATTTAGGTGAGCCACTCATTCAATAAAAAAGTCCACAAGATCATTAACTGGTTAAAGAGTTAATGTACTTTCAATCAAAAGTTTAAAACGAACTTCAATATTTTAAAATAGTTACAAGATTTTATTTTTATTTTTGGAATTAACAAAGAAAATTGCATGTTTTCAAATAATTTAAAATTATCTTTTATCGTGTTGCTTGAGAGATTTGGACTATCGTTGGGATAAACGCATTGTACTTAGCAGGCACACGCCAATCTAAAAACTCAATTTTGGCTAAAAAAACTTTGTGTTCTTTTATGGAGAAAAATCGAAACGATCATATTTTTTTTTTATGCACTGACTTTCTGTTGTTTTTTTTTTCTACAAATTACTCTGTTTCAATGTAATATTTGTTTATAACTACTTCCTTAACTTACTAAATCACAAAGAATCATTATTTCCCAAATGGGGCTCAATCCCATGACCTCCTATATAGGAGAGCTACTTCATGCCGCTAAAAAGACCACAAGATCATTTACTGTTAAAGAGTTCATATCCTACAATTAAAAATTTAAAATGAATTTCGTTATTTCAAAATAGTTTTTGTATTAACCAAAGAAAAATTGCATTGTTTCAAATAATTAAAAAATTTACTTCTATCGTTGCCTGAGATATTCAAACTGCGGGGGAAACCCCATGTACTTAGCAGGCACACGCCTTAACCACTCGGCCAAAGCAACATGTGTGTTATTTTATTGTATATGAAAAAAATGGATTAGTATCTTTTTAAGAGATTTTTCCAACAACTTACTTTGATACAATGTAATATTTGTTTTTAAGTACTTTCTCAACCTACGGAATCACAAAGACTCTCAAACTCATGACGTCCCATTTAGGAGAGCCACTACATGCCTCTAAAAAGTCACAAGATCATTTACTGGTTTAAGAGTTAATGTACTTCTATAAAAAGTTTAAAACGAATTTCAATATTTTAAAATAGTTACAAGATTTTATTTTTTATTTTTGGAATTAACCAAAGAAAATTGCATTTTTCAAATAATTTAAAATTTACTTTTATCGTTGCTTGAGAGATTTGGACTATCGTTGGAAAACACATTACTTAGCAGGCACACGCCCTAACCACTCGGCTAAAAAAAACTTGTGTGTTTTTATGGTAGAAAAATCGAAACGGATCATTATTTTTTTTTAGTTTTTTTTTCTACAAATTACTCTGTTGCAATGTAATATTTGTTTATAACTACTTCGTCAACCTACTAAATCACAAAGAATCAATATTTCCCAAATGGGGCTCAATCCTGACCTCCTATATAGGAGAGCTACTTCATGCCGCTAAAAAGACCACAAGATCATTTATTGGTTAAAGAGTTCATATCCTACAATTAAATGTTTAAAACGAATTTCATTATTTCAAAATAGTTTTTGTATTAACCAAAGAAAATTGCATTGTTACAAATAATTAATAATTTACTTCTATTGTTGCCTGAGAGATTCAAACTCTCGCAGGGAAACACCATGTACTAACTGGCACACGCCTTAACCACTCGGCCAAAGCAACTTGTATGTTTTTGTATTGTATATGAAAAAACAGATTATTATCTTTTTTTGAGATTTTTTCCAACAACTTACTTTGATACACTGTAATATTTGTTTTTAAGTACTTTCTCAACCTACTGAATCACAAAGACTCTCAAACTGTTAAGATATATTAAATATAATATATTTAATATAATATATATTAAATATAATATAATATATCTATAATATATATAGTAATATATATTTGAGAAGAGAGAGAGAGAAGGAGAATTGAATTCACTTGATTGATTTAGAATGCTTGAATACAAGGACTATTTATACTAATGATAATTAACTCAAATACTAAAATTAAGGAGTTAATGCTCCATGTAAAGCTAACATCATGGACATGTACTGCACCTATAATTACTCCCATTATTTTTAACCCAACTAACTCATCTTACTTGGTTTAATATAATAATAATATTATTATAACACAAACTCATGACGTCCTATTTAGGAGAGCCACTTCATGCCACTAAAAAGTCCGCAAGATCATTAACTGGTTAAAGAGTTAATGTGCTTCAATCAAAAGTTTAAAACGAACTTCAATATTTTAAAATAGTTACAATATTTTTTTTATTTTTTTTTTTTGGAATTAACCAAAGAAAATTGCATTGTTTCAAATAATTAAAAAATTTACTTTTATCGTTGCCTGAGAGATTCGAACTCTCATGGGGAAATCCCATGTACATAGCAAGCACACGCCTTAACCACTCGGCCAAAGCAACATGTTTGTTATTTTATTGTATATGAAAAAAACGGATTACTATCTTTTTAAGAGATTTTTTCTAATAACTTACTTTGATACAATGTAATATTTGTTTTTTAGTACTTTCTCAACCTACTGAATCACAAAGACTCTCAAACTCATGACGTCCTATTTAGGTGAGCCACTTCATTCCAAAAAAAGTCCACAAATCATTAACTGGTTAAAGAGTTAATGTACTTCAATCAAAAGTTTAAAACGAACTTCAATATTTTAAAATAGTTACAAGTTTTTATTTTTTATTTTTGGAATTAACCAAAGAAAATTGCATTTTTCAAATAATTTAAAATTTACTTTTATCGTTGCTTGAGGGATTTGGACTATCGTTGGGAAAACGCATGTACTTAGCAGGCACACGCCCTAACCACTCGGCTAAAAAAACTTGTGTGTTCTTTTATGGTAGAAAAATCGAAATGGATCATTATTTTTTTTTAGTTTTTTTTTTTTCTACAAATTTCTCTGTTTCAATGTAATATTTGTTTATAACTACTTCCTCAACATACTAAATCACAAAGAATCAATATTTCCCGAATGGGGCTCAATCCCCATGACCTCCTATATAGGAGAGCTACTTCATGCCGCTAAAAAGACCACAAGATCATTTACTGGTTAAAGAGTTCATATCCTACAATTAAAAATTTAAAATGAATTTCGTTATTTCAAAATAGTTTTTGTATTAACCAAAGAAAATTGCATTGTTTCAAATAATTAAAAAATTTACTTCTATCGTTGCCTGAGAGATTCGAACTCTCGCGGAGAAAACACCATGTACTAAGCAGGCACACACCTTAACCACTCGGCCAAAGCAACATGTGTGTTTTTGAATTGTATATGAATAAAACGGTTTTTATTATCTTTTTTAGAGATTTTTTCCAAACAACTTAATTTGATACAATATAATATTTGTTTTTAAGTACTTTCTCAACCAACTGAATCACAAAGACTCTCAAACTCATGACGTCCTATTTAGGAGAGCCACTACATGCCACTATAAAGTCCACAAGATTATTTACTGGTTAAAGAGTTAATGTACTTCAATAATAAGTTTAAAACGAACTTCAATATTTTAAAATAGTTACAAGATTTTATTTTTTATTTTTTGGAATTAACCAAAGAAAATTGCATTTTTCAAATAATTTAAAATTTACTTTTATCGTTGCTTGCTTGAGAGATTTGGACTATCGTTGGGAAAACGCATGTACTTAGCAGGCACACGCCCTAACCACTCGGCTAAAAAACTTGTGTGTTCTTTTATGGTAGAAAAATCGAAACGGATCATTATTTTTTTTTTAGTTTTTTTTTTCTACAAATTACTCTGTTTCAATGTAATATTTGTTTATAACTACTTCCTCAACATACTAAATCACAAAGAATCAATATTTCCCAAATGGGGGCTCAATCCCATGACCTCCTATATAGGAGAGCTACTTCATGCCGCAAAAAAGACCACAAGATCATTTACTGGTTAAAGAGTTCATATCCTACAATTAAAATTTTAAAACGAATTTCGTTATTTCAAATAGTTTTTGTATTAACCAAAGAAAATTGCATTGTTTCATATAATAAAAAATTTACTTCTATCGTCGCATGATAGATTCGAACGCTCACGGGGAAACACCATGTACTAAGCAGGCACACGCCTTAACCACTCGGGCAAAGCAACATGTGTGTTTTTGTATTGTATATGAATAAAACGGATTATTAACTTTTATAGAGATTTTTTCCAAACAACTTACTTTTGATACAATGTAATATTTTTTTTTAAGTACTTTCTCAACCTACTGAATCACAAAGACTCTCAAACTCATGACGCCCTATTTAGGAGAGCCACTACATGCCACTATAAGTCCACAAGATCATTTACTGGTTAAAGAGTTAATGTACTTCAATAAAAAGTTTAAAACGAACTTCAATATTTTAAAATAGTTACAAGATTTTATTTTTTATTTTTTGGAATTAACCAAAGAAAATTGCATTTTTCAAATAATATAAAATTTACTTTTATCGCTGCTTGAGAGATTTGGACTCTCGTTGGGAAAACACATGTACTTAGCAGGCACACGCCCTAACCACTCGGCTAAAAAAACTTGTGTGTTCTTTTATGGTAGAAAAATCGAAACGGATCATTTTTTTTTTAGTTTTTTTTTTTTTCTACAAATTACTCTGTTTCATTGTAATGTTTGTTTATAACTAATTCCTCAACCTACTAAATCACAAAGAATCAATATTTCCCAAATGGGGCTCAATCTCATGACCACCTATATCGGAGAGCTACTTCATGCCGCTAAAAAGACCACAAGATCATTTACTGGTTAAAGAGTTCATATCCTACAATTAAAAATTTAAAACGAATTTCATTATTTCAAAATAGTTTTTGTATTAACCAAAGAAAATTGCATTGTTTCAAATAATTAAAATATTTACTTCTATCGTTGCCTGAGAAATTCAAACTCTCGCGGGGAAACCCCATGTACTTAGCAGGCACACGCCTTAACCACTCGGCCAAAGCAACATGTGTGTTATTTTATTGTATATGCAAAGAACGGATTACAATCTTTTTAAGAAATTTTTTCCAATAACTTACTTTGATACAATGTAATATTTGTTTTTTAGTACTTTCTCAACCTACTGAATCACAAAGACTCTCAAACTCATGACGTCCTATTTAGGTGAGCCACTTCATTCCAATAAAAAGTCCACAAGATCATTAACTGGTTAAAGAGTTAATGTACTTCAATCAAAAGTTTAAAACGAACTTCAAAATATTAAAATAGTTACAATATATATATATATTTTTGGAATTAACCAAAGAAAATTGCATTGTTTCAAATAATTTAAAATTTACTTTTATCGTTGCTTGAGAGATTTGGACTCTCGTTGGGAAAACGCATGTACTTAGCAGGCACACGCCCAAACCACTCGGCTAAAAAAACTTGTGTGTTCTTTTATGGTAGAAAAATCGAAATGGATCATTATTTTTTTTTGGTTTTTTTTTTCTACAAATTACTATTTTTCAATGTAATATTTGTTTATAACTACTTCCTCAACCTACTAAATCACAAAGAATCAATATTTCCCAAATGGGGCCCAATCCCATGACCTCCTATATCGGAGAGCTACTTCATGCCGCTAAAAAGACCACAACATCATTTACTGGTTAAAGAGTTCTTATCCAACAATTAAAAATTTAAAACGAATTTCATTATTTCAAAATAGTTTTTGTATTAACCAAAGAAAATTGCATTGTTTCAAATAATTAAAAATTTACTTCTATCGTCCCATGATAGATTCGAACGCTCGCGGGGAAACACCATGTACTAAGCAGGCACACGCCTTAACCACTCAACCAAAGCAACATGTGTGTTTTTGTATTGTATATGAATAAAATGGATTATTATCTTTTTTAGAGATTTTTTCCAACAACTTACTTTGATACAATGTAATATTTGTTTTTAAGTACTTTCTCAACCTACTGAATCACAAAGACTCTCAAACTCATGACGTCCTATTTAGGAGAGCCACTACATGCCACTATAAAGTCCACAAGATCATTTACTGGTTAAAGAGTTAATGTACTTCAATAAAAAGTTTAAAACGAACTTCAATATTTTAAAATAGTTACAAGATTTTATTTTTTATTTTTTGGAATTAACCAAAGAAAATTGCATTTTTCAAATAATTTAAAATTTACTTTTATCGTTGCTTGAGAGATTTGGACTATCGTTGGGAAAACGCATGTACTTAGCAGGCACACGCCCTAACCACTCGGCTAAAAAAACTTGTGTGTTCTTTTATGGTAGAAAAATCGAAACGGATCATTATTTTTTTTTAGTTTTTTTTTTCTACAAATTTCTCTGTTTCAATGTAATATTTGTTTATAACTACTTCCTCAACATACTAAATCACAAAGAATCATTATTTCCCAAATGGGGCTCAATCCCATGACCTCCTATATAGGAGAGCTACTTCATGCCGCTAAAAAGACCACAAGATCATTTACTGGTTAAAGAGTTCATATCCTACAATTAAAAATTTAAAATGAATTTCGTTATTTCAAAATAGTTTTTGTATTAACCAAAGAAAATTGCATTGTTTCAAATAATTAAAAAACTTACTTCTATCGTTGCCTGAGAGATTCAAACTCTCGCGGGGAAACCCCATGCACTTAGCAGGCACACGCCTTAACCACTCGGCCAAAGCAACATGTGTGTTATTTTATTGTATATGCAAAAAACGGATTACTATCTTTTTAAGAGATTTTTTCCAATAACTTACTTTGATACAATGTAATATTTGTTTTTTAGTACTTTCTCAACCTACTGAATCACAAAGATTCTCAAACTCATGACGTCCTATTTAGGTGAGCCACTTCATTCCAATAAAAAGTCCACAAGATCATTAACTGGTTAAAGAGTTAATGTACTTCAATCAAAAGTTTAAAACGAACTTCAATATTTTAAAATAGATAAAATATATATATATATATTTTTTGGAATTAACCAAAGAAAATTGCATTGTTTCATATAATTTAAAATTTACTTTTATCGTTGCTTGAGAGATTTGGACTCTCGTTGGGAAAACGCATGTACTTAGCAGGCACACGCCCAAACCACTCGGCTAAAAAAACTTGTGTGTTCTTTTATGGTAGAAAAATCGAAACGGATCATTATTTTTTTTTAGTTTTTTTTTCTACAAATTACTATTTTTCAATGTAATATTTGTTTATAACTACTTCCTCAACCTACTAAATCACAAAGAATCAATATTTCCCAAATGGGGCCCAATCCCATGACCTCCTATATCGGAGAGCTACTTCATGCCGCTAAAAAGACCACAAGATCATTTACTGGTTAAAGAGTTCATATCCAACAATTAAAAATTTAAAACGAATTTCATTATTTCAAAATAGTTTTTGTATTAACCAAAGAAAATTGCATTGTTTCAAATAATTAAAATATTTACTTCTATCGTTGCCTGAGAGATTCGAACTCTCGCGAAGAAACCCCATGCACTTAGCAGGCACACGCCTTAACCACTCGGCCAAAGCAACATGTGTGTTATTTTATTGTATATGCAAAAAATGGATTACTATCTTTTTAAGAGATTTTTTCCAATAACTTACTTTGATACAATGTAATATTTGTTTTTTAGTACTTTCTCAACCTACTGAATCACAAAGACTCTCAAACTCATGACTTTCTATTTAGGTGAGCACTTCATTCCAATAAAAATTCCACAAGATCATTAACTGGTTAAAGAGTTAATGTACTTCAATCAAAAGTTTAAAACGAACTTCAATATTTTAAAATAGTTACAATATATATATATATATATATATATATTTTGGAATTAACCAAAGAAAATTGCATTGTTTCAAATAATTTAAAATTTACTTTTATCGTTGCTTGAGAGATTTGGACTCTCGTTGGGAAAACGCATGTACTTAGCAGGCACACGCCCAAACCACTCGGCTAAAAAATTTGTGTGTTCTTTTATGGTAGAAAAAATCGAAATGGATCATTATTTTTTTTTAGTTTTTTTTTCTACAAATTTCTATTTTTCAATGTAATATTTGTTTATAACTACTTCCTCAACCTACTAAATCACAAAGAATCAATATTTCCCAATTGGGGCCCAATCCCACGACCTCCTATATCGGAGAGCTACTTCATGCCGCTAAAAAGACCACAAGATCATTTACTGGTTAAAGAGTTCATATCCAACAATTAAAAATTTAAAACGAATTTCATTATTTCAAAATAGTTTTTGTATTAACCAAAGAAAATTGCATTGTTTCAAATAATTAAAAA